ATATCAACGTACAAATCAGAGAAAAGAGTAGGGTTGGTGGAAATAGATGAAACATTAAAAGCGGCGCATTGCGTCGAGCCTGACAGCGAGATGCAGGTGCCGGACATGGCGTTCAATCCTCTCGCGAACCGCGAGTGTTGCTGGAAGTCCGGGTCGGATCAATTATCGTAGCTTGGGGGAGTCGATCTAGCACGCGAGGTCGTTTAAGCGGTCTGTCATGTTGTATCGGTCCTCTTGTCTCTATATCAATCCCATTGGCCCTAGGTCTGAATATCCTTGGGACGGTTTGGGCGTCCGGAAACGATCGCGTCAGGGCGGTAAAAGAGTGTCTCAAGGAAAAGAAAAGGGGAGAGATTATATGGGATGAAATTGAAGAAGGAAATCCACGAAAGTGGTCAAGAATTGAAGTGAAGGCAAACGAGTGACCGGGCTCCGTGCAGGACGGCTGCAGAAGGAGAACCACGCAGCAAAGGCAAAGGGGATAGAGGACGAGGTCAAGGGGATGGGATGGCAACACAAGATGGCGCTGATCGGGGAAAGACTAGGCCTAGGACGAAGTAGTCGCGATAATTAAAGAAAGGCCTGAAGGACCCCGTGATTTCCCTGATGGGATTATTCGCGTGTGTTCCCCAATGCAGAAAGGATTCAGGAACCCGCGGTCGATTTCCCACAGAACTGGCGCTTGGGAGGCTCAACGCAAGGTCCAATAATGCCCCTCTGACGACGAAGACTGAAGCAACTGAGAGCTTCGCAACTGGATGCAGCGCAACAGCAGCAAGGTTGACTCAAACTCTTCGAAAGGGGGGATGCACGGCTGGGAGGGTTGCCAATTAAACCAGCCTCCACTTAGTGAGGAGCTAATCTGTTCAGGCAGTTCAACAACAAAAAGCAGTTACACAGCTCCTCTGCATTGGATTGGCAATAGTGTTCGACTTTGCGAACTTTGGTCGCTCTTTCAGCGAGCCAGGAAGGATAAAATCAGATGGCCCTTTCCCGCTGAAGAAGCCTTGCTTGTTGGTGTTCTCTCAATTGAATCATCTCAAAATGGAGCTTTCTGTATGCGGATAAGCGAGGCTTACGATGGGTTGTGATCTGTTTTTTGAGGCAGTCGTCTGCTCAGTGCTCACGCGAAAAATCAGTTGACGTGGCAGACTGTCAGTGATGCTCCCAACAACCCCTCCGATCTCCGATACATCGCAGAATGATCTTGAAGCGGCGCGGTGGTATAAAATCTTCTGCAGCAGATGTATCGCTTCCCGCTTGTTGACTCCATCGACCACGAACGTTCGATCGGTGGACCCGACCCTCTCCCAGGCTAATCTCCGATATCTACTCCGTCGTACTACGTATCAGTTTTTGAATTTTCGGAGCTCCGCAACTCGCAAGGACCATGCAAGGTTTTTGAGTTTCGTGCCTTGCTCGAACCAGGTTTTCTGTTTTTCCGGAGCTCCAGCACCGTTGTTTCAGATTCTGCGGGACGGCTCTGTGCCATTTTGGAGCCGCTAAAAATACCGGGCCTGGCCCCGTCAATTGACTCCGCGGCGGCCAATCTTATTACTGTGGTGACTGGCCACTGGTACTTGATTAATGAGCTGTACAACGTAGACTTGGGACTACTGTCGGTGTGACAGTAGTGAACCTCATGAACTCCGATCTACGTATGGCATCCTACTCTCGGATGCGTTCTTTGAAGGATGCCTTATTGAGCTTGAGCCGGGAAACATAGCGCATCGGGGGTGGTAGCTAAGAAGTGAGCAAGGAAGGAACTGGGTCAGAAAGGACGGGGAAGCACCTGAGCAAGCGCTTGAGAGCAGAGTGAGGATGTGATGATGTGATTGAGGACCAGAGCAGGTATGGAGTCGATTCGACTGATCAATAAGAGCGCCGTCGCTTGTGGTTAGGACATCTTTTGAATTACTCTATATTGTAAAGTGAAGATAGTGTACAAGATCATACAAGAAACCAGTGACGCACATATATATACCTAGATTCGGCTCACCGTGGCCGAATCAGGGCAATGATGATTCCCATCACGGCGGCACCAGCTGCGGCACTGGTCACTGCAACGGTTGAAAGATCACGCTGGGTGACGATGATGGAACGCTCGCTAAAAAGGTCATGGAAATATTGACGCCACGATTCGACTGTTGTAGGAGATGGGGGGAATTGTAGCGGTGGGGGCTTGTAGGATTCTAGAGCGCCGTTCAGCACGTTTTGTATGGGTTGTTGATCGGGTTCGACGGCTGTCGAAACAGGAGCCACGGCAGCCTCTTGGTTTGGTTCAGGCGCAATGTTGTCTGCAGCTAGAGCTGCAGGAACAGGGGTCTCCGCGGTTGCTTCAGTTGTCGCTTCTTCAGTGGTGCCCTCGGTAGTAGCCGTGGTCGCCGCTGGAGTAGCTGCAGTAACGGGCTCGCTGACGGGCGATACAGGCTGGGGAGCCTGAACGAGGACCTTCTCCTTTTCAATGGCCTCGATAACTTTCTCCTCAAATCCCTTAACAAGTCTTTTCCGGCGCCAAGGCTCGACCGCAATCTGGAATATCAGGAACAGAAGAACATTTACTCCCATCAGACCCCAGGTTCCCCATGTACTCATACGGCGGATCTTGTCCGACCAGACCTGCTCCTCGTGGTATCGCGATAGGATATTCTTGGTAAGCTGAGCTGCAGCCTCTTCTGACTCGCGTTCAGCCAGCGACAGCGCTTCTTGCGTTTCATTCTCGGCAACCTCGTTAGCATGGTCATTGCGGTAGAGATGGGTAAATCGTTCAAGGTCCGCCGGCGACCACGCGTGTTTGCGCTGTAGGAGTTCGTTGACTTCACGCTGCGAGGTCGAGCGTCGGTTTATGGCGGCTGCGTAGGCTTCTTTCGCTGTTCGGACTTGAAGGCGGGCGGTTCGGAGTCGTTCCTCTACACGAACTAGTTAGCAAGAGCTCGTTAATAATGCCTTCGAGTAGAAAGCCCTACCTTGCTCGTGGATGTCCCTTTTGAGGGCCTCAATCGAGGTATATCCAGTCAGGTCGTTCAATCGCTGGCCCGCCACGAATACATTCGACTGCAAATTGTCCATCACAGCCGTAAACTGCTTCGAGAACTGCGACCGTCGGTTCTCTAGATATGACGGCAGACCCCCTGCCTCCGTTTGGCCAGCGCCAGCATTTTCCGTCCCCTCTTGTCCCTGCTGTGTGTGTACCGTATCTGCCGCCGGTGGTGTTTGGGGCCCCGCATCTGTGTGTGGTTGCAGAGTAGGACCTGGCAGTTGTATGGGTTCTCCTATGTTAATCGGTTTATCCTCAGCCTTTCCATCCGTCGTCTTCTTCGGTTCGTTTGAGAGAAGGGAAGGTTGGGTTCGGAACTGGCATCGTAGGCAGACTGAGAAGCCTCGCCGTGCTTCCCTGGGTAAGTGAAGAGATTTGGGAATGCGGGCCGAAGGGATTAGCGGTCGTGGCGGGCGGGAGTTTCGTGAAGCATTTACTGATGCTCGGAAAGATTGCCTAAGCAACAATGGCATCGACTGCATGGTGACTGGGCGAGGTCGCAAGGACCGTCGGGTTGTTGTTGGACAGTCACCGGGAACGTTCCAAGGTTGGCGGAGAAAGCTCGGGCGGCTCTTCGGGTGCAGAGCGGAGTCCAACAACTCGACGGCCCTGAACTCGATTTGCAGCGAACGTTTTCGATTTAGATGCTGTTTCAGACATGGTAAAAATTCTCAAATATTTAGATTCTAGTAATCTGTCTGTGGGTTGCTTATCCATGAAACAATCGGGATGAACTATCGCATTATAAGAATGAACTCTCGCGGAGTTTGTATTCATACAACAAAAAAGCATGAGCAATCAAAGGTACAAGAGGGCTTCAAAAACAAAATCATCAATAGAAACGGGCAAGCAGCGGCTCATTATACATCACAATGCTCGTCAGCAATGGTTCATTCAGGGATCATAGGCTCAGCAGTAACAGAGAGGGTGGTGGGGTATCTAATTGAGTGAGGGTACGTCGTATGTTTCTTCGACATGCGGTTTAGTCATGGTTCTGTACTTTGTTGTCGCCCTTGACGGCTTCCGCATAGGTAGGAGGAGGGCGGGCATCGTCATGTCCCTGGCTGCTGCTACCAGCTGCACCTTGCTCCTGAGGCTTAGGAGTGGCCTGTCTCTGTTGTTGTGACTGAGAGTCTGAGGCTTGTTGCGACGAAAGAGTGCCATAACCTCTTTGGGCTTGGTTTGGAGGAGACTGGTGAGAGACGTAGTAGTATGTTACATGTCCGTTTTCGACATCCCCCCTCCGGTTGGGGACGGGCTCGTATGACGGGTCGTCATAGTCTGGCTCAGGGTATTTGAGAATGATGTACCAGGCATGGAGAAGACCGGGGATGTAGCCGAGACAGCAGAGGGCAATGTTGATGAGAGAGTCGGCTGTACAGATACCTAACTTGATCCAGACTGAAGGCGGGAGTTAGTGAGTCAAATCGATCACGAACAAGGACTTGGGGAGGGGTCTGGCGTACCTGAAACTGGCGGGAAGAATATCGCGAGGATAGCAAGAAACATGTCCGAGCCACACATCTTGACGGTTTATCGGAGCTCTCGCCAAGTGAAAGTAGAAAGAAGGGCGTAGGTTATCTGTAAAGCCTTGACTTGTTCGGTGAGTTGGGAATTTAGATGCGTTCCAGGAGCGGTGGTGATAACAAATGACGATGATGGATGCCTGCGGAGATGCGAGTGCTCAGCCGCAATCAGATGACGTCGGGAAACCCCCCGTGACTTGGGCTTATGGCTGCGCCATATGTGGCTGATGAGTCATCGGCGAAGTGTGCCCTATCCTCGCACTTCAAGCCACAGTATTAAAAATCCACATTCAAGAGCCACACAACCTTTTATGGAGGGTTGGAAATAAGAATGCAAGTACTAGTGAGATTCTAAATGGTAGTGAAATGGAAAACAAGCTCATGGCGGGTGAGACGAAAAATTGGAAAAAAAAAAAAAAAAAAAAAATGAGGTAGGATAGCATGTCCTGGTTTCGATCCAGGGACCTGGTTACTGTTAGAATTTTGCTGTTTTAAACTTGAGAAGAAGTTAAGACGTACCTCCGGGTTATGAGCCCGGCGCTCTTCCCCTGAGCTAACATGCTGGTTGGTTGTTTAAATCATGTCTTGAGAGGTCCATAAATCAGAGAAACTATCAATAAAGATTCTTTGATATGATTAGGTTTGCAGAATTCCGGTTGCGGTTAGCGACGGTGGGGCTCACCATGCGATCTGCCAGTACTCTTGCCGCATCCGGGAACCTTCCCGACTACTAGCTCCGTTTTTAGGCTTCACTAGCTTCCTCCGGCCTAGCGCTTCATGATTCCTACCACAGCTGCCATGATGTGGGATCTTCATGGGATAATTGGCAGTCATGGGTGGGTATACGGCTTCAGTACTGACAGCTTGACCTTATGAGTACACGGACAGGCCGAGTGCTTCCGTGCGGTGCGAGTCACTGTCGGTCTTCTTGTTTGCCAAAATTTTGTTCTCACGTTTCTCCACGCAGCCATCGATGTTCGGCGAATGCGCGGGAACGGAACCACTCGGGGCGACAGAGTTGGTAAGGTGAACATTTGAGGTTTGATTGACTTTAAGTATTTTTTCTACCTGATGTGTTTATGGTTGATTTCATGAAAATCTGAGCGTAGGTGCCTCCCTTCGGTTGTATAGGGATGATAGAGAAATTCCATTACTGTAACTCTCATACAGATATATATATTGGTTAGTATGACTATCTTCAATAATCAGGCAATGAGCCACGACACGCCAAAACGTCAGGATACCGCCGAGATTACCGGAGCGCCGCCCGAGAATGACCGATATGACATCATTATTTGAGGCTTGAACGACTGAATAGTGACATACTAACGGGCTGGACTCTGGCCCTGTAGAATGGTAGCACTGACAAATGCAATCAGCTCTTGACCTCGCAGTGTTCAGAGTCAGCGTTATTCTTTTCCGCATCAAGTTCTACTGTAGCTGGTGTCTCCATGCGAGCAAGCCTGTATGCCTCGGACCAGCTCATATCCCTGCCCGCGTCATGTCTGATCTCGAATAAGCGATCCACCTGCTCTAGCGAAAGATTGGCGGTTTCAACGTAAAAGTACCAGATCATCGGTATAAAGAGAAAGTTGAAAATAGCGTAGAGCATATAGTATCTCCAACCAATGGTCTCGATCCCCGTCGGCGTTGCAACAACCACAACATAGACAAAGAGCCAGTTGACCGTCGTAGCAAAGGATGTGCCGATGTTCCGCATCTTTTGCGAGTTGATCTCTGCGGGATACATGAAGGGGATCGAGAGGAGAGACATGCCGTAGAAGACGTAGTACATGAAGATGAAGACCACGGCGAGGACGGACATGCCTTTGTTCTCGGGACCACCATAGCGCAGCCCAACGGCGACGAGTGCAAAGCAGATGCTACTTGCGGTGACCCCCATAAGCATGAGTTTCTTTCTGCCGTATCTGTCGATGAGGAGTGCGGCAACCGCTCCCCAAAACATCAATGACATAGAGTCGCAAGCAGAGAGTATCAGTGCAACGCGAGTGCTTAGCCCAACGGAGCGTGAGAGAACAATTGGCAAATAGTAGGCAATCACGTTGGTTCCCCCGACCTGCTGGAAGAAGGCTGTACCAGCTCCAAGGAGGATCCTGCGTAGAGTTTGTTGCTTGCTGTCTCGGGCGAAGATTTCTTTTATCGGGGTCGACTGTTGCACCTCTATCTCATGCTGAACCGTAGCCTCTAACCGTTGTATCTCGTCGACCACAACGGGATCATCATGTGGTTTGTCCAGTAACCGAGAGAGAATGTCCTGGGCCTCGCTGACGCGATGCTTCATAACTAACCAACGGGGTGACTCCGGGATTAGAACAACGAGAGACAGGGTTATGAGGGCAAAGAAGCACTGGAACGCTAGCGGGAAGCGCCAGCTTATGGAGGAGTTGGGAATATAAGTGAAGCCAAGGTTCATCCACTGTAAAGTCAGTAAGGGTCTCATTTTTTTCCGAGGCAGAGGTCACTCAGGGCTCACATTGCTGATCACTATCCCGAAAATGTTTAGCACCAACTGGAGTACGATGAGTTTCCCACGCTCGTGCGCCCTTGCAGTTTCCGACTGCAGAACCGGGCAAGCAATGGTGTTCATGCCGTTCCCTACTCCAGCCACCACACGACCAACTATCATGGGTGCTAGTGAGTATGCAGCCGTTTGGAGGATAGCACCAACAATTAGGATGCAGCATCCTGTTAGGATGCACCGTCTCCGCCCTAATTTGTCTCCCCAGATCATGGAGGCCAGAGTGCCTATGATGCAGCCGATGTCATAGGTAGCCACGATCTGGCCTTGGATGGTAACGTTCGGGTTTCCAAATGTCCGAAGAAAGTGGTCGTTGTCCAGCAAGCCACCAAAGACGCCCTGATCATACCCGAATAGCAAAAATCCGGCACCACATGCTGCGGTGATACCGAGCTGAAGAGGCCTGCCGCGAGTGTTTTGGAGAAGCATGCTTTAAACCGATCAAAGAGGAAAGAATGTAAGCGACGAGCACATTAGGTAGAGGCCTGTAGGATATCAATATCATTGCTATATATAAGGCGGATGAACCGTACACACTGATAGATGCCCATTCTTATGTTGTACATTGTCCTCTCTGGGAAGGCCGGAGTAGATCTGGGGTATTCCGGCTTATTTTCCCCACAATATCAAGGTTCACCCGGGTTTCATTATCCGAAACGATGGGAATCGAATCGGCGATAGTCCCGAAGCTCCCCAATACACTTCAAAGCCCAATAGAAAGCAAGATTCCATGTTGATGACGGAGAAAGTCCCGGGATTTGGGGCTCCGCTCCATGCCTTCAGCTTGGAGATTCAGAAACTACTGGGGAGTTGGAGACGCATGTGGCAGCCCATGATACTCGTGAAATCTGAAAGTAGGATAGAACATCGCAGTGCAGTACTTAGTACCGAATTGATTGATTGGATTTGGGCTCCATAGGGTAACAGTTATTCGTGCGCAGCAGCCGAGTTGGTTGTTGAAAAATCTATCGTGGAGAGTTGAGGTTGAAGTTCTTGTTCTGCTCCACACCGAGAGCTTCCCAAAATTCCCCCCACCTTCCCCTTCTCCTTGTACTCCATAGATACCTTGATTCACTTCTTCACCTCTCCCATCTGCCACGAGCTTAAACCAATGCTATCATGAAGAAAATACATTCCACCAAATCCTCTGCCAAGAGGAGGCATACAACAATGGCTTGCGTGTCTTGTCGCGAAAGCAAAGTTAAGGTTAGTCAACAACTCTGTTCTCCCCTCGGAGCTGTCTGAAAGCGATAAGATCCGTGAGCGTCAAATCATCCGCTAATCGACAACTACACATAGTGTGATGGGACCGAGCCAGCATGCTCCAATTGCGCGACTCGGAAGCGTGAGTGTCGTTATCAAGCTGTTGATAAAAGAAAGTAAGCGATAGAGAACGTGGGATGTGGCAACCCTAGCAAAGCTAATGATGACTGTCTAGACTACCTTTACGCGTTGCGATTGAACTGCTACTGAGTCGAGTGGACCAGCTATGTCACTTTATCCAGGACAACGGCTTGCAACTGCCACGCATGTCGGAAGAAAGGGGTCTGGCCCTGGGAAAGATTCTGGAAATGCTGGGATTAACCGAAACAAATTCTTCTATGACACAGAACGCCACCTGCGAAGTAGAGGCACGGATGGCCAAATTGCAGGATGCCCCTACAGAAGCCCCCGTCTTTCCTGCCGCAGTCGGCCTTTCTTCAACAACGCGGGAACCTGAGCCGGCGGAGCTCCAACAATGCCCTAAAAGCCATCTTAAGGCGCATACAATGGACTTCAGACAACCCGAGAGTGTATCCGCGTTGACAACTGTCGACGATGATAATGCTCATATTAGTTACCGAAACCCGACTGAGGTTAACCCGATCGCTGATTCGAGGAACTGGGACTGGCAACTAGGCCTTGACGTAGGAATCCCACCTATTTCTCCAGGCGGCCATGGGTTTCTTGATTCCTCGCCCCCAGAAGCTCCGTTGTGCGCCGCGTTCAAAGAGCTGTCTGGTTCGTTCGAGCCCATGATCGCTGATGACGAGAGGACACTGGTAGACGGTTGTGGCAGCGCAGAAGATATAGAAGGTCTTATTGATGAGCTTTCCGACCGAGTTGGCACTCTGCAAGTTGGGCCTGGCGGGAAGACACAGTTTTATGGACCGACTTCAACGTTCAACCTCGCCGATATGCTGAGCGCAACCTATCCAAAGACGCACTCCGCAGCTCAGAGTGACGCTTTGGAATGCCTAAATCGGCTCGGGGATAACAAGACGGTCCCTGCTGCTCTCGAAAACCACTTAACACATCTCTATTTCTGTTGGCAGAACCCATCCTTTCATGTGGTAGATCGAGGAATTTACGACGAGGCAATGGCTAAGTGGTACGCTATGGAAGACACCTCCTTTTATTCCGAATCATTGAGGAATGCAATGTGAGTGACTGCCTACTCAGTGAACTTGAAGTGAAGTCACTCAAGGTTCTGATTGCTCGGCTAGGTGTGCGCTAGGTGCTTGTTTCGAGGCCCGCTATCATCCAGGGTTTGTCACGTTTCCAAAATCTCTTGTTGAATTCTTCGGAGAACGCGCAAAAGCCCTACTTGAGATGGAACTCGACAGTCCCTCAATAGCCACAGTTCAAGCCTTGGTGATTCTGAGCAACCTCGAGACTGGTGTTGGAAGAGATGCGCGTGGGTGGCTATACAGTGGTGCGTATTTTAGTGAACACTGAATGAACCCCAGGCACTCAACTTAGCATTCTAGGAATGGCAATTCGCCTTGCTTTCAACCTCGCCTTGCATCTCGACATGTCATCTTACGTTTCAAGTGGACTTATAACTGCGGCAGATGCGGACTTACGTCGAACGGTTTTCTGGGCTGCTTATACTGTTGATCAGTCAGTGCTCACCTTTCCCTATTGAGGTCTTTGGCATGCAGACTAACAAGCCATAAGTGAACTGGGATTTCATCTGGGGAGACCTTTTCGTACAAACATGGAGGACGTGACAGTAAAGCCAAACAATAGACCCGGGCGACC